CTCCGTTCGCCTTTCTTCGTGCCCCATTCTCACACTTCGAAATCACTTTTACAGACCGAACCAATATCGTCGAACGGAGCCTTACACTTACTGTTTTGTCCTTCTCTCAGTTAAATATATCAAATGAAACAGGACTGTTCTTCGACGGTCAGGTCCATATCGATCGTATAATTCTGCGACTGTGGAACGTCCGGATGCGATATATTAAATTAAAAAATATTAGGCGATTTCGATGAGATCAACACACAATCCTGTGGTTGGATTTCAATAAATCTAATTGGATTTCACAATTAATACACTCTGAATTGAATGAGTTACGTTCAATTGTATATTGCTTATGTATTAAATAAATTAACTATTTATTTGATGCAGAACCGTATACATATGTACTATTACGCATAATAATAGCAATACAAATATTTTAGTTTTTTTACAACAACAGAAATTGCTATGTATTTGCATTCAATAGTATGATTTTACATCTATTTTGTTAACTATATGCAATAAAAATCATGGCCAAAATAATGTTTATTGCAGTATTCGCTGATAAATACAAGCGGCTTAAATGCTCAAATTTTCCCGTCTGAAAACATCTGAGTAGGACGAATAGGTGTCTCGTAGGTTTAGGCGTTAGGTTAAAGTCGAATGGTAGGCGAGTTTGAACACCGACGGCGGAAAAATTGCCGCCATCTCTACCACGGTAAACCTATGCTGTAGCATGGTCGCCCAGAATTTATGCATTTTTTTCCAGTAATTTTACACGATTTTTCCAAGTTCCAATGATTATTTCATTGTTATCTGCATTATTATTATAGGATTGTAGGATCCACTATTATGGATTTTAGACTTTTTTGGGAACACAGTCTTATCAAATATTACTAGCGGAACAAATGTCCAAACGCTTATGATAACAATAATAATTTATTCAACACAAAAACAAAACAGCATTTTTTGTACCAAACTTAATATATGATATAATATTTTAATATTTTAAAAAGATTAAATACGTGTACCTACACCAAATGAATGCATAAATACATTAAATAATAAACGTTATATTATATAAGACTATTGTAATTAATCAATAGGTATAATGTCAGTTGATAAAGTATAATAAAAATAAATACCTATAAGTATTTAAGTTGCCTGCTTAAACTAAGGTTAGGTACCTTGGCCTTTACAAAGGTAAAAAACATTATATTACATAGTAATAGAAATAATAATTATATTAATATTGTTAGCATCATAAAATCATTGTAATATAATACCTAATGCCCACATCATATACTATAAAAAAAAAGCCAATACCTATTTGTTATAATAATTAATAATTTAAATTTTCCTTCCATATGCGTAAGCCAATCAGAAGTCAGGATTTAATCATAGGTTTTATTTCGTGTGCAGAATGGTAATATGCTAACAGGCAGCACGCAATATATAGCTGCGGCAGCGGCACACGAAACGTATCTTCGGCACGCGGAAAGTAGCGGCAGCACATGACTGGTACTTTGTAGTACTGACTGCGAAAACGGCAAAAATACCACACGTCACAAACGTGGAAGCGATACAGTATACACACACTTAGGGGGCACGGCGACGCAGAGAAGGCGTCGTGCCGACGGTTAAAGAACGACAACAAGATGACCGAAGCTGGCCCGGGCTCGTCGTCATGCGACCGAAGCGCGCAAAATCAACGCGGCTTCAAACAGAGATTCGATGCCGATGGCGCGGCTGGTGGTCGGGTTGGCGGGCCCGAACCGGTGGTCAAACGGTTCGCGTTCGAACATGAAGAATTACAAATAGCTAGAACACGGGCTAATGAATAAATGTCAACAAATTTTTGCCCAAAAAGGGATAGCTGACATTTTATTTGAAAACAATAGGGTACATTTAACCGAGATTCTATTCAAATCAATACAATTTCAAGCAGAGTGAGTGCTCCATACAGTTATACACCAGTTCCTACACCAAGTCCGTCTTCGTGGGTTATGACAGGTATTGCAGATCAAAACTACTCTATTTTCAATCACCATCAATTGAACCATCTGGGAACATAGATACGACAACTGCGTTTATCAATTCATTTCAACCGTAATTTTTTTAATTCGAATTTCATTGTTATTTTGTTCTATAAATGTATTAATTTACCATACTAATAATATCTACTACCTACTAATAAAAATATTCATTTATAATAAATATACTTATGAATAAAAGCAATCTCCAACGCAAAAAAATGTATTTATTATCAAGCCCTCTTTTTTTTATAGGCACCTACTTAAATATATTGTTCTATTTAAACATTATTATTATTGTTTTTAAATTTACTACTTTAATAAGAAAAAAGGTTTGATATAATACTGCCGTGCTAACCTCAAAACAACAACTTGTTAAGTAATTTTACCAACATTTCAATATTTGGAGATACCCGTTCGAGGTTTAAGGTGGCAGAATATGTAGCTTACCTTCATATAGTTTCGAAGACAATATATTAAAGCTTCACAAGTTTTAATCACAATTTTTCCAATGGATGAGGAGATATCGCACTGATAAATTTCAGATCCTCGAATGTGTTTCTGGTAGATAAATAACGTAGAGTAATAGACAGTCTTTGACTTGCTGGTATAGCTTCTCGCATTGATGTATTTTGTTTTTTAATAAATGGATTCACCAAAGTTAAAATTTCATTGAAACATTCATCGTCCATTCATAAAAATTTTTTGAAATAATTTCTTTCAAAATCAACTTTGTTAATAGCTTTTCGTGAGTATATTGTTGTCTATTTTTCAACCACTCTTTTGACCAGGTTCTTCGTTGTTTTTTTTACCTTTTTTGGTTTATTTTTCATCAAGTGACAAGGCAAGAGCAATAGAAATTATCGCGTTCTCTTTTTCTCTTTTTTTTCGTTTTACATTTAACCGAAACTTAACAATATATCCAATTGAAACATTTATTGATTTAAATATTGAGAAATAATATTGATCGTGTATAAGTCGCTTAAGTCTCTAAAATAATAACAATATATATATTTTTTTACCAATCGTTATATTACATTATTAGCGAAGCCTAGATGTTTAGATATTAAATCACTATATTATCGTACTTGTTAAATTAGATTCAATGTTATTGTCGTCGACACCGACACGAAAAGTTAAACTAATAATCAATAGTGGTACTGCCGACTGGTTACTATTTTTAGCACAAAAATATTGCCATTTCTCGGAAACCGACACCTCGCTGATATCGACAGTCGACGATTAACAAATAATAGTTGGTAGTTATTGTTATTTCATGTAACGTTATGTCGTGATTCAAGCAACTCACATACACTAGGTAACATTTTAATATTATCGTTAAGCCGTTAACTTTGTGTACAACTTTGTGTATTCTTAAATATTAAATGTAAGTACTATTTTATATAATTATCCCAGTTATACCCATAAACATTATACACATACGCAGTGGAGCCTATATTATACATTGATACTTGATTATACAATTTAAATCAAAAGTAAAGTTAAATTAAAAATATTTTAAGTTAAATTAAGGTATATTTTGCGTTGTAGGTATGTTGTTTTCCTCCAAATCAGTTCAAAATAGTTTTTGTTAAAATTTGCTACTGAAGATAGAAAATGGATAAATTTATATTAAGTGCAACAAATATGAAGATCTAAAAATACTTCAAACATTGCTTTACCAAATAATGAATAAAATAATGTAGTTCTTAATAAACAGATAGTCGGTGATGCAGATGACCCTGTAAATGAGATACCTGTTCGAGTTTAGAAAAAAAGATAGAATTGACAAAGGTCCAACCAACCAAAATTTGATTTTCCTAGAACAATAATAGGCTCAAAATAAAGAAGTTTCCAAATCGAATGGTACAAACTCGGGGTTAGAATATAGTAAAGTTCTTAATTCTGCATTTTGTTTTTACTGTTGTGTATTTTGTTTAAACGATCCAGCAGCAAAAAGTGATATTGATTTTATTTTTTTAAAAAGAGGATTTAAAAATTGGCATAGAGCACACAAATGTTTCCGTAATCATAAAAAATCTAAAGGCTATAAACATAGAGTTTCTTCTTGGAGTAGTTATACAATAGACAAATCGGTTGATATTTTGTTAGAAAAGAAAGTGCAAAAAGAAGTGTTTATTTCAAAGCAAATCAAGTAAAATAAAAAATCGTCAGATAATGGAAAGGTTGATTGATATAGTTATTTGTTAAGCAAAAAAGTCAGACCATTTAGAGGCCATGACGAGAGTAAAAAGAGCATCGCGCAAGTACTGTTTTTAGATTTAATAGATTTAGTGTCGAAATATGACCCTACTTTAAAAGATCATCTAACAAATGGACCCCAAAATCCTTTATACACTAGTGGGATAATCCAAAACGACATTATTATCAGCATAAGCAACATCATATTACGAAAAATAACACGTTCCGTCCAGAACAAACTTGTTTCAATAATAGCTGACGAAATAAGTGATTGTGGACACCATGAACAAATGGCATTTATTTTGAGATGATAAGCTTAAATCTCCAGTAAAACATTTAGTAGCTATTTGCAGACTTATATCTGTAGATGCCCAAGCTATTTTCAATTAGTTAAAAGTTGTTAAATTTGGTCCTTTTACATTTCATAATCCAGGGTAGTAGAGGATATGCAGGATCTCCTAATATCATTAATGGTACATCAGTTTCTTGAATTTTTCGCATTTGAGTAGGGATGAGCATATCCGCGTTTTTAAATAAGTTTAAATCTTATAAAACAAAAGCATCATGGTAACTTCCTGGATGTTTGCAGCTTATATCTCTAATTCTATAAATCAAATTATCAAAATATGTACCAATTAAAATGTAATCACATTAAATATCTATTAATTATTAACTGATATTCATGGTCTACAACTGCTTGTAGAATAATTGATGTCCACCCTTTACGATTAATATAATCTAATCTGCCATCTGCTGGTGCCATAATAGGAATATGTGTTCCATCACCTATAGGTTAAATATTATTTTAAATTAAAAACTTAATGAATAGCTCAAGTAAAGAGAAACTAAATCTTACTAGTATGGATGTACCTAATTAATTATTAAAATCCAAATACAATTTTTAAAATATTTTAGTAATTTTTGAACTATGAATAATATACTACTATAATATGTAAGTAGGCACTTAATTTACAAAAATATTGATTAGTTTTTATTTCTATGGGCTTTGAACTGAATTTTTTAGATTTTTTGGTAACAGAATTAACTACTTTTGTGGAATTTTGTTTAAAATGTTCAATCCTTAGCTATATAATTTGAACATTTTATAATTTTTTAAACACAAAATCATTTTTTAATTTTAAATTTGATAAATGTTGTCAAAAATCAAACTTTTAATGCTTATAAAAAAAATTGTCCCTACGTATTTTTAACATTTTTCAACTGCTAATTTAGCAATACATCAGGAGCTTTAAATTAAATATTGACGTTTTTTTGGGCCAACAAATAAAATGTTATTGACATTCATAGGAAAAAAAACTAAATAAAACACACATCATTGTAAAATTAGAATCTAAAACTAAAAGAGTACTTTTTCATTAATTAGATACAAAAGTCCTTTATGTTATAACCATTAACTTCAACTTAAATACCTGAACCATCCCAGTTTTTTTTTCTACGTCTGCAACAATACGAAGAGCTTCCGTCTTGTCAGGGAATACAACATATTTAGAAAACCATACAAAATTTATTGCATTGACAACTTTATAAAAATACTTTTTGACAATACTTTTGTGAACTCCAAAAGCGTTAAGGCCCCCATACACGTCAAACAAATTTGCGCAACCTCCGTGTTTGTGCAAACATTTTTAGCGTGTATGGCGTGGTTTGAGTATTTGCGCAACGGTTTGAAACAAATCGGTCGAGTTCGAAATTTGTTGCGCAAACACTTCATGATTGACAGTCGGTTGGGGCGTAGGTAAATTGAGTCCCAAACAAAATTACGGTTTTTCAAAAGCGGTGAATTGAGTCCCTTGTAGAAAAGTTAAACCGGTGAATTGAGTC